ACTTATGTCAAGCAGGTGTTTATCAACAGTGATGGCCCACTATGAACACCGTGCTAAGTCAGCAAAGCATCACATGGAAGGTATCCGTGGACTTGGCAGCACCCGTTACCTAAGATAGAGAAAAGCACGAGTGCCCTGCGTTGCTTACTGTGAAACACCACCTCGGCCACCAGACACCATGAAAACTGCTTCAATATTTCCAAGAATGAGACTAAGGAAAATAAGTTGTTTTGAACATATTAAACATCCCAGAAATTTTTCCACTGAGAAGCTCCTGCATGCCCAAGAACAGAAGCAGAGAGTTTTACAGCATGGCCTCTCGTGGCCTCTGCAAGGACCGTATCTTTCGCAACACTAAAACATCATTTGCCAAAGGGATGAATCCTAAAAAGTTTGTTTCTCCAGGTTGCTGCTTTGCATTCTTCAGGTGCTATGAAATAAAATATTCCCTAGCCAAGACAAAGTGGACCTTTCTTCATTTTAAGGCTAAATATCATGTTAAGAACAGTTGTACGCAACCCCTACACAAGGTAATGATCTGTGTGCAAATCTTACAGATAAGCAATCTTCAACTAAGCAACAAACTCCAAACAGCTTCTTTGACACTGTTCTAATGAGACTTTACGTCTTTATGTTTTGTTTGTATATAATTGTATACATAATATCCACTCTTCCAGCTAAAAGAGGAAAGTTTCCCTGAGAAATTCTTCTATGATGTTACTATATAATAAAATGGACATGAAGTTGCCTATGACAGCAAGCCACTAGATCATAATTTGTTGCACAAACCAATAAAGCTGAGAACTTCAACGGACCAGATTTACTTTTCTTAACTCTAGGAAGTTCATCACAGGCAATTCCCTCATCCACTTGATGTGTTTGTTTCAGAATGACAGAAAAATAAGAGCTGAGCAAACAGAGCAGGAACAGTGATGGGAAAAATAGCCTGACATTATATCCCACCTTGACTCAGAAATTCAGTTGACAGTGGGAGGCAGGCATAGAGTTAAAAGCATATTAAGAAATTGCTTTTTTAGAAAATCTGTGGAGTGGGGGAAGAATTAAGCCAGAGGCAACAACTGGTTAAGAGGAGATGCAATTGCTGGTGAAAGCCTCCTTCAAGAGCCAGGCAGAAATAAGGAGATGACACAGGAGACTCATCACACGATGAAGGCCAGAGCATTGCTGGGAGAGATCCCACTCCAACACCAACTGCTAATCCCTCAGCTGTCTAAGGCTACTTCGTGCAAGGATCCAGGGAAGCCCAGCACTTGGGAGCCAGGGCACCAGCCCCACGAGGCAAACGCTGCTGAGCGCAGCTTGCAGAATTCCCTTTCCCCAACGAGCACTCGAGCAGTGGAGAAATGCGCAATTAATTTAACTCACTCTGCATAAAACACCTTTTGCAAGGACTCCTTAGGCTAGCTAATAACAAAGTTAATAGCAGTTAATAATAACAGTAGTTAATTCTAATAGTAATTCTAACAGTAGCTAATTCTGCCTTGCTGGTAGCTGCTACTTTATTGCCAAATTGCACAAATGGAAGGTGGCAGATATGGATATGAGCCAACACTGCAATAAAACTAGTTTCTAAAATACCATGCTAAACCCATACCAACTGAACTCAAACAATGGGCACGTATGGGTTTGCTACCCTAACCCAGGCTCCACTCTTACAGCAGAGGTAGCTGCCATAAAAAAGCCATTTCTGGAATTCCAGCTTAATAAATTAAAGCTAATCTGTGTAAATAGTTAACTAAAGCCTCTTTTTCCCCAACAGATCTTCAGAATAATTGGTCCTTGTTCTTTTCCAAACTCATCCTACTCTCCATAAAATAAAACCAATAACTACCCCTGACACTGAACAGGAGCAAAGACCAGCACTAGCACTTGCATGTTCCACCTCCATATAAAACCTGATTGCACAAACAACTCGTGATAGCTTATACACCTTCAGTGGATGAGCTGCCTCCACGCTAATCCGTTTGAGGCTCTAATAAAAAACCCTTCACCCATCAAGAGGTGGTTTGCCATTAGAGAAGACTTGTAGGTCATTCCTATCCGCAAGGAACACTGAACAGGATAAATTCACTCTGTTTTACCCAACAAGCCTTCTATTCATTTTAAAGTGAACATCCTTGATAGTAAGAGGCTCTGAACTTCTTACAGGAGGCTTTTTTTTTTTTTTTTTTTTTTTAATCTATTTTTCTGCTCTGCCTGCTGTTGGGAAAAGATCCCTTAGAGAATCCTAAACAAAATAAATGTCCATAGGCCTATCCATCCTTCCCCTCTGCGCACATACCAGCCTCTCTAGTTTTGGTTGGTGCAGCTGGGGCTGATAAACATCCTTTTGGTGCCCTTTGCTATTACACCTCACATGAGGACAGTATTATCAAGGCAAAGAAGAGAACTAGCAACCAACAAATACGAAGTTGCATTGATCCCAGAGAATCCAGTCATGTACATGATGTAAACTTGTTTTAAACAAAAAAAACAGAGGAAGGCAGCACTTCTTCCTGGGATGGCAACAGTGTGTACCACACTGTCCAGGCTCACGAGGTACAAAGTGTTCAGACCACAGAAAACACATTCTCCTTGAGTAGACAGAACATTTTACTTAGAAACCATCTCATCGGGCTAGATTGCATATTCGTTAGTGCTACCTAGAGTGTATGTCTTTCTTGTACTACTTCAATTTACTCCTCTTAATTAGAATTCAAATTAAATGAATGCCTTCTGTGCTCTCACATTCTCATTTGTGTAATCTTTGAGGGGAATGACAAGCAAAACTCCATTTCAGCATACTGGGAGGCATTCTCTGCATACATTGAGCTAAGCCTCACTTTTCAGCTCTTTTTATTAAGCTCCGCTTCCAAAGAGCGGCAGAATAATTTGATACACAAGATAGTTGTCAACTGTTGATGGATAGAGAAACTTGAAAGCTAGAAAGGTGAAATACTCAGGAGAAGCAGTCAGAAAAGCAATTTCAGAACAAGTTTCAAATTTCTAATTTCACTTACAATTTTAAGTTTCACTGGTGAGAGGCCGCTTAGAATCTGACAAAAGATCCTCGGTTACAGCGTTGCATCCACTTGATTACATTGCATTAAGAGCTCCAAGAAGTTGCCAACCCTCCAAGCACTTCCCACTTGCCATTCAACAAAAACAGTGAGCCCTGTCAGGTCTTATTTTATTCCCCCACTGCCAATATTAGCACAAATGCAATTACAACAACGAGTCAAAAAAATCAGGATATAAAACAGGAACTGCAACTTAACTGCTGCATTTCCACCCGCATCCCAGTTTTCGGTCATTCTTCTATGGGGCTCCTCTTATAGCATTCTGGACAGCAAGACAGATGTTACTTACATCTCACCCTCTGAACACATTGACTTCCTTTCCGTTTGACTTGGAAATTAGGCATAAAAGCCGGTTTTCAGACTATATGAGGTGACTAATTCCTTTCAAACTTCACATACTATATTTTGAACTGGTCACAGGTTTGCTATTAAGCAATCACCTTTAACACATCTCTGCACTGCTCTCCCCAAACCAGTCCACGTACCCCCAGGCAAAGTCTAGGCTTTCAAGTTGAAAGAATTCAGGGACACGAAAGTTAATCAAAAGTTTGAAAGCCAGAAACAGCCACCAAACTTTCTGAAGAGAAGAAGTTGGGTTATATTATTGCAATGATTTTAGAGATGTTCAGCCTAATCAAGTATCTCCAAGCAAGACAACATGCCATTAATGTTAAGATTCCAAAGTTGTTCCAAAATTGGGTTTTTTTTTTTTATAGACCTCCTATTCATATACAGCAATTTCTAAAGTATTTAAAACAGTTCCTAAAACAGCTTAATTGTTAGTGAGTCAGCAAGTTTTCAGTCTGCTCTCTAGAAGTAACCAGATTTATGCAAACATACACACACACATATATAAACCTCCAGTTTAAACAGCCTAGAATAAGCACAAAATCAGGGCATAAGTTAAAAAAAAAAAAAAAAAAAACACTGCAAGAAAAGTAGCTCCCAGTTGGTAACAAGTCCCTTGCAAATATTCATATTTACTCACATTCAAGATCCATTTCATTACAATTCAAACTTGGTCCAGACTTATTAAGAGCAAAACTTAAGGGATTCAGTCATTAAAAGCTTTTTTTTTTTTTTTTTTAAATACTCAATCACTCACACACCGTTTTTAGAACAAAGTTATTTTGTCAGACCAGAGCCCTCCCCAACTGCAAAAAAAAGCACGACAGCCACCAAGAAGCCGGCTTATTAGCACGCTGGCTTCGACATTTCTTTTCACAGAATGACTCAGCCTCCTATTTTCCACGTTTTCCTTAAATATTTGCCCTACATTTTACCACACGGGCTAAGGGCTCCAGCAGAACCCGGGAAGTTTCCGCCACCCCAACCTGGCGCATCCTCCAGCACGACTCTTGCTAAAACAGAAAGCTCACGGTATTTGGCAGAGATCTTTTGGGTTTTTAAGGGCTTTAAGGGCTATTTTTTTGAGGGCTTTGTTGGAGCGGGCGCGAAGCCCTGGTGCTTGTCGCCAGGCCGCAGTTTGGGGGCTGCAGGAGGCACAAACTTGCCTGGAGTTGCTCCCTATGAGGCACAGAGCCACGCAGAGCGGGCGCTGCGGAAGGCAGCTCGGCACGGCACGGAAAAAAATAAAATAAAATAAAATAAAATAAAATAAAATAAAATAAAATAAAATAAAATAAAATAAAATAAAATAAAATAAAATAAAGTCGGGGAAAATAAAGGGTGAGGGTGGATTCTGGTCCGCTTTAAGGCGAGGCGGGTCCACGCCACGGCCGTCGGGGGCTCCCCTTGCTTGCGGCTGGCCCTCGCAGCCTATATTTGGTATCGCGGCCGTTATCAGTGGGAAGGCGCGTTTTAACGAGGAGGAGGAAGATGCCACAAGGGCTGCCCCCCCCCCCCCGGCCTGTATCTGAGGCGCGCACCCCCCTCCCCCCCGCTCCCGTTTTTTTTTACCTTCATCTTCGAGCTCCAGTTTCTCCAGCATCCCTTCGGAGGCGGCCGGGGGCTGCGAGGGATCCGGAGCCGCCGCTGCCGCCGCCGCCGCCGCCTGCGGGAGGGAAGAGAGGAGAAGGGGATGAGCATCCAGGCGCGGGCGCGGCGGCCCCGGCGCGGCCGAGGGGAGCGGCGGCGCCGAGCGCGCTTCCCGCCGCGCGCTCAGGGCACGGAGGAGGAGGAGGGCGGGACGAGGCGGCCCCGCGGCCCCTCGCGCCACACGCACGGCCAGGGGGAGGAACCGGGACTCGCCCTTCCTCCCTCGCGGCGGCGGCGGCGCCCGGCCCATTAACCCCCGGCGCCGCCGGCCTCGGCGCGCCTCTTTCCCCCCCCCCCCCCTTAGTTGGTACATCCCGTTTTGCTGCAGTCGAGACTGGGAGGGGGGTGGTAACTACCACTCACGCACGCCAAGGGGGGAGAAGAGGAGAGTTTGCTGCCGCCGCTGCTCCAGGAGCCGCGCCGAGCTGCCCAACTTTCGCGGCCCGCTCGGCGCACCGGGCTTGGCCGCCGGTCTGCTTTACACTCGGATGGTGTGAAGAGGGGAGGAAAGTCCTCCGCTGCCCTCCCCCCCCGCCAGCTGCGCTTGGTACGGTCCCGCGCCTTCACCTGCGAGGCAGCGGCGGGGAAGCGGCCGGTTCCACTGCTCCCCGGGGGGGGGAAGGGGGGGGGGAGTGGTTGGGTTCTCCCGGGCTTCCTAGCGCAGGGGCTCGCCCGGGCGGGGCGGGGCTCCCCGGGGCGGGCGGCGCCGCCGCCGCCATCGCGGGGCGCCCGCGCTCCCATTCGCGGCACCTCGGAACGAGAGGGTAGCCCCGAATGCCCGGGTCTCCCACACGAGTGACGCATTTTATTCATTTATTTATTTATTATTTTTTTTTTTAACGGAGGCCTCCTCAGGCCGGCCTGCTCCCATGCAGCACATCAGGCTGGGTGCCCACGCACTAAACAACCCCCCAAAAACGGAGCGTCCCTCGCTCACACACTGATGTTTCCACTCCCAACCCAGCTACTGTAGTCAGAGGCAGCCCGAGGCCCTGCCAGGCCAGTGAACGCCCGATTTATCTCTTTATTTTCCCCTCAGAAACCTGCCGGGCCTGCAGATGGTCCGCAGGGCTTGGAAGAGCCTGGCCTGCTGTGTGCCCAGCCCGGCTTCTAAGGAAGCATTGTCTGGCGAGGGGATTATTTCCATTCCCTGTTCCCAAGGGCAACGGCCCTTGTGGGCAGCGCTGCCCCCGGGCACATCCCTGAGCTACCAGAGGGTGCTGGAAATCCCTCCGTCCCTCCCAATCCAGGCTCAGCCTTGGGCAAATCCCAACGCTGCCCGTGTAACACAGCAAAACGTGAGGATTTAGGGAGGGACATTTGGGAAATGGGAAACGCTGAGGATTTAGGGAGGCACATTTGGGAAATGGGAAACGCTGCCTGTCATCCGGGCCGTCCAGAGGGGCTGCAGGCATGGGAATGAGCTCTGGTCTTCATGGGATAGAGGGCTGCTGCTTTTCCCTCTCTGCCCTTTTCCAGGGACACTCCTATGGGGAGACATGGTAGCAGTCCTGCCAAAATTGCCATGATTTTCATTACTGTAAAGACCCTTTGGGAAGAAAATCCTAAAATATTTCACTCACAGCTATATTAAAAAAACAACAAAAACTTGTAGGAGTGCAATAAATACTGTAAATGTTCAGCCACAGAAAATACCAAGACAGTTGACACTAATTTAGAATGTTTTCATTCCACTAATTAAAATGCTGTAGAAGTTATTATCGCAGAAAGCTTTAGATGATCTAAATAATTTGGCTTCTGTCTCACTTGATTTTTTTTTCCTATTTTGTCAACAAAAAAAAAGAAGAAAATAGCATGATGTTTGATTAGAAATGAATTATTAACTGTCATGATTTTGCTTCCTTTTTAACGGAGTGGGTATTTACTCCCCTCACTAATCTAGGGAACAAGAGACATGAGAAAAGGCTGCTCCAAGGTTGTTTGTAAATGCAAATGAAAGGGAATTTTCAAAGGTGTAGAGTCCATTTCACCTGCTGTAATACACAGATGTACATTTACAATAAGACACTTAAGCCTCCTTTGTGCAGCGAGCTGCTCTGCACGTGAGCTTACTGCAATATCAGGTTTTTACTTTAGCAGAAACTGTATCTAGGCCGAGAATACTAAGAGTAAGTCAATACAATTTAAAGGTGGTAATTTAATATATAGCAGAGATTTACAATGGAAACATTGTAGCTAAGCCGTAGTCTATGTAGTGTATAAAAGAAAACCAAAGGAAATTGAGAAGTAAAGGCAGAAACTTGATCCTTCACCTGCCTGCAGTCCCACAATCTGTTTAGGCCCTGTCTTAGTACAAGCTCAGAAACCACTGCCGTGTTCATTGTGAGCTACTGCAGCATTATAGAAATCAGCAGATATTTGGAAGGGTCTTGGATACCAACTCTCTTTACAAATACTGCCTGCCTTATTAGAGAAGGATTACTGCTTAAAGTAGGGGGGGGAAATCCCTCTGTGGAATGACATTATATGTTGTAACATTCTCATTTCTTTCTTTCTTCCAGGGGCATCGCTTATGCCTAAGAACAGGGACCTATGACACAGTGCTGATACAGAGGTTTAATGCAGCAGTGCCAGCAATCTCTGTGGAGGCAAAGGAAAGCAAATAACTCAAGGCTGATACAACAACAAAAGTCATAAAAACATGGATGTAAACAAAAGAGCTTTTAGGGCTTCTGGGAAGGGTAGGACTTAAATTTTAACAGCAATTTAAACTTTGCCTATCTCTGCTTGCTTTTTTTTTTTTGTTAATTTTCTAGGGTAAAGGGAGTTACTCATTCTCTGTAAAAGTAAAATCAGCCCTCTAGGTTATATATGCCCTTAATAATGAATATGTTAAAACATCTCTAAAGATCCAGCAGGTCTCCTTTATGTCTTATTAAGGGAATATCCTTATTTCCATAAGAACACAGTCAGTATTTAATTTGTAGCAATAGCTCAGGAGTTAACATCAGCAGAAAACTATTTATTGAGGTAGTTTCCTGCCAGTTTGACTTCCTGAACTAGCAGGCACATGTGCTGGGATAGCAGTGGCCATTGCCAGATCAGACCAGCTATATCAAAATGCTTTGAATGAGATTTCTCTCACCTGCCCTTAGATATCTAATCTGGGTTTAATCACAGCAGAACTGCTCACCCTTGGCTCCTTCTCGCAGCCTGTGGAGAAACAGCCATTTCCAGGACATTATTCACGTGACCTATTTTAGACAACTGCTTAAGATGAAATTAATTGGCATCCTAAACTCTATTCACATCTCTATTTGATTAGATTATTCCACTTAATAGTATATACTGCTAAAGAGGTAGGAAAAGAGAAACAACGACCTATGTAACCAAGGATCTAAACTAGTCAGTGTAACTTTGATTCCAAGAAAGCAAACAAATGATCCCATAGTTAGGAGACAGAAAGTTCCTCATTGATATAAAAAACATGGATTCATCTCATCAAGCCAATCTCAGCCAGCTCTATAACAGACCATGGTTGGCAGATGCAGGGTGTGAACTAATAGATGTACAGTGAGAATTAACAGAGCTTCTTGACACTGCTGAGCATGATGCTCTCCTAAGCAAGACGGACTGGATGAAACTACTGCTAGAGGACACAAACATATTCCCAATGAGGCAGTAACCTTTCTTTATCCAACCAGAAGGGTTTAAGAAAGGGTTCCAAAGAGGTCTATATTCTATGTAATATTCAGCGTATTCAGTGATGATCTGCTGGAGAAATAATGAATAAATGATTATTGCATTTTCAGCTGGCACTAGGCTAAGGGAGGCTGCAGTTTTAGGGCTAGCATTAGAACTTAATCTCAAAAATTTCAGCAATGCTTGAAACAAGCACGTTGTGCTTCGATATGGGTCGCCGGAAAGTGTTGCACAAGCAGAAATGAGGAAATGCAAAAATGAAATGGGGAAAGATTGTCTTACAGCAGTTGCACAAGAAAAAGACCTGAGGCTGAAACTAAATACGAGACAGAGATTCTTGTGAAAATATATATAAAATAAAATAAAATCTCTTTGATTTTCTTAGTTTAGGGAAAATAAAATAACTGAAGGAAGATATAATAATGATCTCCCAATGTAGTACATTGATGCAAGAAGGAAAGTGATAAACTCTCTTCTGGGTCCACTGGTAATGGGATAAGAAGTTATCGGCTTAGCCTTGGGCAAGGAAGACTTAGGCTGGACTTCAGGAGAACTTTCTAAATATAAGGACAGTGCAGAACCAGCTTGCTTTGCCAAAAGCCCCCCAATCTCTACCATACTGGAGGGTTTGGGCAGCCAGTTAGAAAATTATTTGTTGGGAATTACGTACATATTCTACTAACTCATGTACGTATTCTACTAAAAAGAATTTCTATACTAAAAATTCTACTATGGAGGGAAATGGATTTTTAAAGTCCCTTCTAAAGGGACTTTAGAATATTTCTTTATATAAAATATAAATATATATAAAATATATTTATATTATTTATATTTATATAAAATATATATAAAATATATATTTAGGTAGAATAAATATATTTATTCTTTCTTAGTATGAGAATTTAATGAGAAATCTATGTTTTGTACAAAAGCTAGGATTCACTAACAGTCTAATACAGATGTGCTTTGCCTTTCCTTCTCCAAATCAAGTAACTTTAGTTCTAGATTAGAAAAATACTAAAAAATAGCCTTACTTGAGTGATGATAAGGGTTACATATTGGTCTTTGACTAATCAGGAATCAGAAGGACAACATGCTGCTGCAAATCATAAATCTGCATGGAAGAGGCTTCTTGAAGTACTGCAAGCAAAGTGTTCCCTGCCCTTTGGTAAGAAATAAGCCCTCCCAGGGAAACGTGGAGCCTTTGCTCCCTGCTCATTTCCCTCTGAGCAGGGAAGGCAGCGACACTATTAACACTGATGTGCTAGCGGTGCCGCTTGTACAACTCAGAGTTCAGCAATAAAACCAAATGCCCTTCCAAAGACTTCAGAAGGGAAAAAAAAACCCTCACCC